GGTAGGCTTCTACACATCTGTAGAAGCCTACCACCCTCTACGTACACGACGGTGGTAGGCCTTCTACGTGCTGACATCATCGAGTACCGCTTCAATGTAACCTGATCGCCCTATCGTTAAGATAACATAGGACAATGTTCAACCTTCTGTTAAGAGAATAGAGATAGCGCAGACAGCCCTAGCTAGTGCACTATCGGTAGCTAGCTATCTATCTACAATATCCATACCCTCTGGTGTGCATTTGACTGGTTACTTTTGGGTATACCAGTGCACTCCAAACATGTGCAGGCAGCCAACTAGATAGCTTTGTCCAGACTAGCTTAACCCTCCTCCTTCTCCCCTCTGGAGCCTCTTCAACTAATCACTTTTGGGTATATCACACTCCACAAGCCAAATCGGAGGTAGCTTCATGTTGCTGTGGTCAAGTTGTGCTTGTACATGTACCGGTAGTACCGGTACTGGGAGAAGGTATGATGACTTCATTGTTTTTTTTATGCGATTCGATTCGATTCATTCGATTCGTGTGTTTGGATTGTGTTTAACTGTTATCAGTTATCCAAACAGGCGGGCGTCCAGCGTGGGCACTACTACGGCCTCAGATTCAATTGGCCACAAGGGCTCCGGAAGAAAATTCGAGGGTCCTCTCAGAATTCAATCCTCACCGTAGAGCTCCAGTACAGTTCCTACAGAGGGACAAATCCGAACTTCCTGGCAAATGAAGGGTGTCGCCCGGCGCGATGGTTCTTCAAAAAACGCTTACCATTAACCTTAAACAACGAATGTCCTTTAAGTAAATTTTCTTCCCGGCCTTCGAATTTCTGAGCGGACCCCTCGGATTTTCTTCCGGAGCCCTTGTGGCCAATTGAATCCGAGGCCGTAGTAGTAAAGGCCAGTAAAAACGATGAATGACTAGAGTACTAGCTAGCCAGTAATCTTTACTAGCTAGACTAACATATACAGTTAGGAATTACAGTACTACGTTCAAGCGGCAAATAAGAAAACTAGCCAGCTCGATCGCACTATTAATATTAGAAACTTTATATATCTTATTCTTATTGTTTACCAGCTGGGGTCAGAATACCGTCTTGGATCTTTGCAATACTAGCTAGTAGCGCCTCGATTCTGGTTTCATCAGCTAATAACTTGCACAATGACGAGTGCATCGCCACCACAACCCGACGCAGCGGCCACACCCGAGCTCTACCGCGCGACTTCCCTGCTTTCCATTTGGGGCCCTTGTCGTCGCGTGGGTGATGAGTATCTGTCCTGTGTGGTCCTGAGTGGAATGGGAATGTGTAAGCCTTTGCGACGAACGTTTGAGCAGTGTGCCGCTGAAACAGCAGAGTATTCTACGTCTGTCCTGGATCAATTGGCATCTCAGGCGTGTGGGCATGTGGAAGACTCGAATCCAGCTGCCAAGAGAAACTGTGCAGCGGAAATTTTACTGATGCAACAACAGATGCAGCAGCGCCCACCCCAACAGGGACCGCAAATGCAATAGTTAGGAGGAGTTTCAAGGAAGACAACTACTGCAATAATGGATCAGGTTTTTTGGCGTCTATGGTCGTGCTACTACCGGTATATTAGCAACACGATGAAATCTTCATGTAGCCAACACTCAAAATACCTGTACGGGTGTACCGGTAGATACAGTAGTCTGTATAATAACCATGCATTGGCCCTGATATTGTACCGGGTATAGTGCCGTGGCATGTACATGTAGCATGAATGATCCAATCTATCTGTGCAACAAATCCAACTATGATATTATACCTGGTGCCTAACCAGCTAGTCACGGCACCGTCATGGCCTCGGGTTATCTTTATTTTTGCTGTTTTGGTTTGATGATCATTCCCGAACGTTCCAGAAGCCCTTCAGAAAACCTTTTCTCATCACCATCACAGTAATCACAGTACCACCACCACCAGCAAATGGCGAAGTGACCAGATTGCTTTTCAATGATAATGGAGGGTCTCGTGGCAGGACGGGCGACTTCGATTCTCTAAAGGCATGTCCCAGAAGCTTCCAGCATCAGCAGTAGCAACAGGAGAAGACCAAGCAACCGCAACTACTCCAAACAGAGCAGCCCGGCTGAGTCACATTGATGCCGATCTCCGAATCCGTGTCCTCTACGACGACGAAGATTTTGTCGTGATTGACAAGCCTTGCAATCTCCGATCTGTCCCGGGGAATGCAGCAACGTCGACAGACGTGAAGGAACGGGGACAAAAACGAACGCTGTCTGGTTTCAACAAAGATGATGACAGCAAGATTGTGAAAGGACAAGAGAAGAGTAGTACCCAGCGGGAAGAAAAATCTCGACTGACAGCGCAAGAAGCGTGGCAAGCAGCCATTGAAAGTTGTTCGACAATATCCAATACAAACCAAACTGCCCCTGATGGAGGAAATATCCTAAGTGACGATGCAATCTTTAGTTTGAAGCAGATTGCCGTCTCGGACAGCACCATCAGGGCATCCATTCCCAGAAAATGCAAGGTCTTTCTCAGGTATATCAACCGCAATCAAAAGCGCTTTCTGCAATTACGTGTCGCATCAGATTCTTCCCACCTAGAGGAGCTTGCCTCGGAAATGTACAAAGAGCTCAAGAGGCGTCAAACTATACAAATCAATCTGCCAGAGCCAACGAACAATGAAGAGTCCGCCTTCGGTCAGCTAGTAATCATGGGATACGATGGTACCGAAAACAAGACAAGAGAAAGCAATAAACTATTTGTAGTGCACAGATTGGACTGTGAAACATCAGGGGTCATGGTGTTTGCTAGGAACCGATCTGCAGCCTCATCGCTCTCTCAAGCATGGAGAGAAAGAGAGGAGCAAGTCTCCAAGGAGTATCTGGCAAAAGTGAGATATTGGCCACCTTATCACGAGCAATCGTTGATGCATGGCAAATTAGAGGTGCCACTGGAACCCAGCAAGGAGCGCCTCAAATGGAAAGTGGCCAAACATGGAGGTGGTGGCAAACCCAGCACTACCATATGGAAGGTAATCACCCATCAAGAGAAACAGGCGATGAGCGGGAAGGACAAACCCGCGACAAGTAGTGAGAGCGAACCAATTCTCTTGTCGCTCACGCCTGTCACGGGTAGAACTCATCAGCTGAGAATACACTGCGCTCACGTCGGAACTGGTATCATTGGAGATTCCCTGTACGGAGATGACCGAGCATCCGCCAACATTGAAGGGGATGATGACCGCCAGGTGAGATTGATGCTTCATGCACTTCGATTGGCTTTCCCGCATCCTTCTACTGGCAAGCGGTGCGAATTCACCTCGTCTCCGCGGTGGTAAGTAATACTGGCAGAACGGGAAAATGCAGAGGGTTGGATGTGCTACCGGTAGACTTCTACCAGTATAGGCTGCCAAGGATCGAGACATGCAAAAAGAAGAAAAGATTCGATTCGATTCATTCCAGCCAGAGCTGCAAACCATCACCACATGTACATGTACCGGTAGGGCGGTGAAGTGAAATGGCAAGTGCTCTCATGTGGTCGGATACGGTACCGGTACGGATTGGAACCTCAACGACGGTGCTGAACCCACTGATGTCAAAAGTAGTGAACTGAAGGGGATTCATTCGGTAGTTGCAAGTACTGTAATATCATGTCTTTTATGAGAGTTATTAATATAGGAGACGAGGCTAGTACTGGGCTTCTCACTTTGCACCCAGGTTCAATAACTAGCACGTTGCGTCCGGCATAGTTTCATCTATGTTGCTGATTTAGGAAGCTGAAGACGAGCTCGACTACAGGTAGCGCCGACCCCCTACCATAGCTCGTTTGGAAGTGTTACAAACACAACTAGCTAGATTTTGTTGCAGTCGCTGTTAGGGCAATGTATTCGGCAAATGTCGTACACAGGAAGATGTGTCAGTGTATCCTCCTTATTGCAAAAGAAGTCCCGGTCTTCGATAAAGCCAACCCCAAGGTCGTCACATGTCTTCGACACGTAATTGCGATCACCCATATCCACCTCGACCCAGGAAAACACGTCTTCACAAGAGGCAGGGTCGTTCTGTGTTGCCGGAGTCGAGCTGTCGTCAACAGGTGGTTTCCCTGCAACACAGCCGGACTGCTGCGGACAGTCGAGGCGACACGTTTTCCAAACCTGATCCCCTGCCCTGCTGTCTAGCTTTTCGCAGTAGCTCTCCGGATCTTTGGCGACAAACTCACAGAGTACCAAGTTCTTGCCAATGGCACTGTTGTCATCTGGAATCTCAACCCATGGCCACATGGTTTCGCATTGGAGGGACTCGGTTGGTGGCTTTAGTTGTTCTGGCTCCGCTGCAGCTTCCACTCCCCGATTGCTTTGCTGTCGGCTCGTGGAAACGTCGCACAGGTTGTTCTTATTCCTTCCAATAGCCACGGTGAGCATGTCAGGGGTGGTCGTGGTTCCTGCAATGTGGGAGCATACAGAAATGTAGACCTTGTCGTTACCATCGCCATTATTACTGCCAATGCCATTTGAAAATGAAAACTCATAGGGCGGCGAGTCTACATCCAGCGCCGCTTCCAGGTTGGTGTGCGAGTGATATTGTCCGGGAAGCTCTTGCACGACCAAAAGCATGTTGGCATACTCTTTGGTTTCGATATTCATCGCCTCCTGTCGGTTGTAGGTCAAAAAGAGACTACTGTATCTCAGAATGACGGGTTGATCTCGACCCACCGTCCTGGCATAGTCTCCGTAAAAGGCCAAATCGTAGATTCGTTTATCATTACGGTTGTTGGAGAGATTGACCCAAGTCCTTCTGTCCTGAAACCATCCCATGTCCCACATGTTTTGTCCATTGTAACACATCTTGACAACGTTTCGATGCGAGTATCCCATCACCGTCGTCATGTCACTGTATGCCACGTTGTTCTCGTAGGCATGACCCAGACCGTTGTTGTGGCCAATCTCATGAAGCATTCTGTGGAAAGCAAAAAGGGATAGGGCAATGTTATTAGCAATCCGTCATGAACAAAGTTAACTCGGCTTGGCATGTGCACAACAAGCGTACTTACGTCATGGTGGAGGGAGCCAAGGAGTGGATAATACCAGAAAAGTATCCGGGCGTGGCTCCCCAGCCCAGTTCTCCTGGTCTTCGATCAATGGCATCTGGAACAATCAAGAGTAGATGATCTGTTGTGGAAGTAATTTCCTGGTTGTTTCGTAGACCCAACTGCAACTTGACACTGTCTAGAATAGCCGAGTACAACTCTACAAATGTATATTCGGATACATCCTGAGGGGGAAAGACTTCCACAATGGGGTGGTCTGGATGAGGATGAATGGTGACTTGTCCTTGGGAACAGGCATCCATTTGTGTGACGAGAGAGTCGTTCGCTCCAAATACATGATCGTAGAGAACATCCATATCTAGGAAGTAGCTCACTGCCACGACCACCACCGTGCGAGGACCCAGAGTGACTTGCATTCTCCGTTGTCGTCGCTCCTCCAGCTTTTCGGAGAGATCTCTTCGGTGGTGTGGTTGAATCGAGTGATGATGAGGAACTTGGGCAGGTTCAATGGTGTTGACCTCTTGATGTGCTGGGATATGGATGGTACTGACACGCTGATGTTGCCTGTGTTTGATCCAATCTTGTGAGTACTCAATGAACCATTCATTGTTGAGCATGGCTTGTTGGTTGGCTTGAATGGTTCTTCGCTTCAAATTCTTGATGTAGAAGAACGATTCATCCGAAACTCCTGACTCGTAGTTGGCAGAGACTCGATTGCACAGCATCATTTCCTCGTGGTCTTCGTCGTTCTCATCGACATCAGTGTCGTCGGACTCTTTCGTCTCGATTTCAAGCATCGAGACAAGACACACCGACATGGCTTTCTTCGAACTGGCATATCTGGAGAGACCGTAAGTGTCGTCCGAAGCAAAAGCAAACCCTTTCAAATTGTGACTAGCAGAGCTCTTCTTGGTGACTCCACCAGACCATTGTACCAGCACGACACAGAAGACAACCACCAGGGCCAAAGAGGCCACTGACAAGAGAACAGATGTTCTGGAAAGGAAGGACATCGTCTCTCGTCAACAAAAAATGAAAGAGAAATGAATTGTGTGAAACAAAATGTGAAACGATCCGAACTGTAACGGAGACGTTAAATTCAAGAGTTTAAAATTCAAAAAGCAAATCGTGAAATGTTCTTAATTCCAGGAAATACCGCTACGACACCTTAGCTGTTGACCGTTGCATCATTCATGGCTCCTTGGAACTTCGAACTGACCATGTGCAAGTCCTGGTTGGGAAAGGCAATCTTTTATATGATATGGTACCGGTGAACATGCTACATGTATGATGTACCATAGTCCTTGCATTATTGATAGCAAGCAATACAACATGCATACATACATGTATTTTAGGATTTCAAGTTGGCTGGTTGGTTGATATACTGTAGTCTACCGGTACCAGGTATAGTTTAAGTTAGTTGGACTTCCTAGTCTTAGCTCAAGGCTTGAACTGGGACTCCTACGTGTACAGTACCAGATCTCTGTCTCCATCTGCAACCACTCTCGCAGCCCCCCTTTCAGCTTCCAACGGCACCTCCACAAGCGGCGGCGTCTCGCTATGTTCAAGTCTACCCAGGGAGCGGTTCAGCGAAGTCTCAAAGACATCAAGAGCACTTTGGTGTTGTTCAAATGCCTTTAGAAAGCCTTCCTTCATTCTCTGCAACCGTGATTTCGATTGCTGAACTTTGTCCAGTGCCGTTTGAATATCGTCGGGGTCTCTTTGCTGCATGGCAAAGGCGACGTTCTCTTTCCATTGTGGACACACCGCGACCACATTTGCCAGCAGAGGGGTATCGGCGGAAATTTTGTCTTGTATGTCATCTGCTAGCCGCTTTCCCCGCTGGGTAAGAATTGGGGTGTTGGGTTGACTGAGCAACCTCGAAGGGGACGGGGTGCCTTTGGTTCCTTTCGATGGGGTTGGGCACTGTGAGTTGACATTCTCCATCAGCTGCAGCAGATGTTCGAGTCCTTGATCGTCCTCTGCGTGATTCGATTGGTTGGAAACCAACTTTAGAAACCCAGACTCGTAGTTGTCCTGTTTCTCCCTCTCGAGCATTGTTGCGACCACAGCACCCCAGAGCCCGTAGTTCGTCTTTCTCCTTTGATTTTCGCGCTCGTCGTTCACTACTATGGATCCACTTCTCCATTCGACCCTGCAAGCGGGAACACATACATTGTTGTCATCAAAGTAGTCCTCAATCGACATGTCAACTGACGATTCTTCGTCACCCTCGTCGTCTCCTTCCTCGCTGTCCTCCGATACCTTCACTACCACTTCATCTTCACCTGAGGAAATCTCTTGGCCTTTGACATCTTCAGCCTCTTTCTTTTTGGTTTTTGCGTCTTCCTCGGTTTCCTTGCCGGTCTTCCCATTGCAAAACCCGAACATTTGAGTCAAAGTGGGCTGGCAAGCTGCAAATGCGCACGAGTCGAGTCGAGTCAGATACGGTACATGTAGGCAAAACCTAGTAGAAAGGAAAGATTAGGGGAAGGTGCACAACTTACAATCACCAAATACTTTGGCTTTCGCGCTTTGGACAACCTCCTTTTCAGCAGGTACACTTTTGAAGTTCTCCAACTGATGCTCCAGTTCATGCCCGTCCGGAAGAAAGCGGTACTGTCCCGACTCGAACTGGTCCAATTTGAGGGACTTCGTTTGTTCCCGAATTGCAGTGCGTTTCCGCCTTTTGACGTCCCGTCGAAGCTTGTCTGCTTGGTTCTCGTTATCTTCTGCCGCCTTGACATAGTTCTCTATCTGCTTTTTCAGTGTATGTTCGATAGCATCATGTGAATCGTGTAACGAGTTCACGCTCCGCTTCGAGGTTTTTTTGCGTGACGCACCCTTCAAGTTTCCTGTGCAGGGGCACGACTTGCAGAGCTTGCATCTGTGCCCTATGCTTGGAGTTGTTTTGGTAGGGTAATGCATATTGGTGACTTCTTTTTTTGGCAAGGTTGTGCTGGGAACCTTTTGTTGCTGGTTGCTAGTTGTACCCTTTTTGGTTCTCGTTGACTTCAACACTGTTCCAGACGTTACAATGGCATTGCCCGCAGTCAAATCAATGGATTGCCCGTGTGCTCCGTGAGCGCTATGATTTGGCTTGGCAGCCGAAATGCCATCCTTCTGCTGCTGTTTCTTAAAACTCTGAACTTGAGGTTGCGGTTGGGGATTTGGCGGTTTTTGGCTCGCAGTCGGATACGCTTGATGCGGAACAGAAGGATAATAATAGGAGCCGTAAGGCGGCCCATTCCAATGGCTATACTGCCACTGTTGATAGTTTTGATCCGGTCTGGTGTGTCCACTGGGAGCATTGGGCAGTCTTCTTTGCTGCTGTTGATAAAGCTGATAGTGCGAATAGTAGTTTGTTGGGTGTGGGACAACCTGCTCGTATGGGGTCTGTCCTTGTCCTTGAGACTGCTGGTTCTTTGTGCCTTGCAATCGATTCGCTGGAGGTTGGGCCTGAAGGACACGTTGCTTGGCCGCAGCGTTTCCGCTTTGGTTGGTATTGGTCGGCTTGGATGCCTCTACAAATGTTTGTTGCTGTGTCTTGGCGGGATGTCCCTTTGACTCGACTGGCAACATGGTCTTCTGAGGAAGCTTATTGTCAGAGCCAGGTCCACCAGAAATGGAAAGGACGTGGGATGTCAAAGGAAGTTCCTTGGAAACCTTGGCATCGGTTTGCATTACTTGAGCGCCAGAAGCATTCCCCTGGTACTGAACATCTGTGGCTGTACAAAGAGCACTGCTGTCTTTATCTTGAGAAGCCTTTACAGTGTTTGGCTGAGGTTTCACGTTAACTTCCGACGGATTCATTTCTTCCGAGAAGGCTCTCTCCTCCCCATCAGCTTTGGTTGGATACTTGTCGTGGGGAGTCTTGATACGGGCAAACACGGACAAGTCATGATTTGGAGCTTTTTTGTTTTCGTTATCGTTTCCTTCATGAAAGGTGAAGACGTCATTGCCAGCAACCTGGCTTGTTGCAACTTTTTGAGCGTCCAAACCGATGATGCTCTCGCTGATTGTTGCTGTGTTTTCTTTGGCCGCTGTCGTTCCAGTAGTCACTTTGCATTTCTTACTGAAGACTACTGCTTCGGGTATATCGTCATCGTCGCTGTCAGAGAGGTTGAAGGATGGGATAGGAGGCCGAGATCCATCCTGTGATAATTTCGCTTCGACCTTTGGCAACAACTCTTCAGGCAAGTCATGCTTCTTTCTATTCCTTTTCCTTGATACCAACTTGCTTTGAGATGAAGACTGGCGACGGGTTTTTCTATTAGAGGTAAACGTCGACTCTGGTTTGCAGGCCGTCTTAGTCGATTTGCTGGTAGCGTCGGTAGCTTTCTTGTCATTGTTGGATCGAACTTTGGATTTTAACGATCGGCAGCGTGAAAAGCTTATTGTAGGACGTAACAGAGCTGGCTTCTCTCCTTCCAACTCTTCCGATCCCATCTCAGATACTTGCAAGCCCTTTGTGTGCTGGACTGGGCTCCCCTTGCAATTGGCTTCTGGACAAGTAGACTACTAGTACTATTTTAAAATACTAGTATAATGATTCGATGATGCTGGATGATGTGTTTCAAAGACTTGAAGAGGTTTTGGCGTTTGGCGCCATTGTCTGCAATTCTACCGTTAATTTGCCCGGAGTACCGGTTTGAAATGTTAAGTCTTTTTCAACCACTCCATGGTACCGGTACCGTATATACTGTATGCCGTACCGGTACCGGTACCACGATATCGTACCTTACGGTATACCTGGTACCACCAGATAGATCACTGGCTAGTACGGGTGTACAGTCGTACCGTACGGTACCGGTACCGATAGTTCGTGGGAAAGCACACCACCAACACTTCAAGCTTCAAGGGTTGGGACTCTTCACCAAATTTACTATTAAAAACTCTTTTTCTTTATCTCATTGTATGTCTATGAATAGTAAGCAGTATGGACCAGCCTGGTACCGGTACCTGGAGAATTCAATTTGTGTCGACGAACCATCAAGTACAGACTGTGGGGAATGTCGTTCAAAGCACTGGTCATTTCTTTCTGCGCCACAACCTCATAGCTGAACCACAGGAGAGAAACCTTTTGGAGACCTAGGCCAAAACCCCCATGGTATTCGCCAAGAAGCTTCCCAACAATGCTATTACAGCTGCTATTGTTGTCAGAGAATATGATGCCAACTCCAAAGATAGTCGCCGGTTCAAATTCAGCATGAAGGCGCGAGAACTCTTGCTGACAGCCAAGATCATGCTAGAAGGAAGATTCCCCTCTGTTTTGACCAAGAAAACGCCTTACTACAAGAAAGTTCAAGAGCAGCTTGAAGCTTCAGTGGAGCCTTTGACAAGAGCCTGAGCAAGTGGCACAAGGAGCACGGACCTGAAGGCAAGCACTGGTATGTTAAAGGTGTGGCCTCTGACCCTGACTACCAAGGACAAGGCCAGGGCTCTGCGCTGATGCGCCGGTTTGCTGACGTTGCAGATGAAGCTGGAATGGACTGCTACTTGGAGGCTGCAAGTGAAAAGAATCGCTACTTTTATGAAAAG